GACAAGATTGTATGGCTGAAGGTGTGATGGGAAAAAGCAGAATAGGGTCAGAAGGGTCTAGAAAGCTAGGAGGGGAGGGAAACTTGCAGTTATGCCCCAAGTGGTCAGCATGAGCCTCACTGAATGGAGAGACGGGCAGAGGCCTGGAGGAGGTGAAGGATTAGCCAAGCAGCCATCGGGGGAAGAGGATTCCGGGGGAAGTAAATGCAGAGGCCCTGAGGCAGGAACACACGTGTTGCAGCTGAGGGGCAGCAAGGCTGCCAGTGTGGATGAAGCGGAGGGTGGAGGGGAGTGACAGGAGGCGGGGTCAGAGAGGGCAGGATTGCTCACATGCTGCTTGGGGGCTGTGCAGGGGCTTCGGTTTTTACTCTGAGTGAGACGGGGGAGGCTGCAGAGGTGGAACCTGGGGGAGCAGAGATTTCTTAGAGAGGACCAGAGAGCTCTAACCACGAAAGAAATAACAAGTGAAGTGGACTTCATGGGCTTATCCAAAACACCATTCGAGAACTGAAAGTGTAAGCCACAGGCAGAGAGCAAGTATGTGCAATATATATGATGTCAAAGGATTTGTATCCAGAATACAAGAAAAAACCTCCTGCAAGTCAATGACAAAAAAGCACAATTAAAAAGGGGCACAATGATGACACCAGCTACCGGGTCGAGAACGAACAGGATGGAAGCAAAGGCAGGAGAGGGAGCAGTCAGGAGGCTGGTGGGTCAGGCCTCGCAGGGCCAGGAACTAGCTCACACACAGCGAAGAGAGGGGAGCAGGAACCTCCGGGGATCCTGGGCAGGAAAAAGAAAGGAGACAGGAGGAGGAGGAGGCAGGTAGCAAGGAGGAACACAGGAAGAGAAAGAGAAAGATGGTGGAGGAAGGGGTCACCTATTTTCTGTGAAAAAGTACAAAGGATAGAGATACAAGGAGAGGTGTGGAGGCTCAGGGAAGCCCAGCACGTAGCTCTGAGCGAGTCATTCTCCCCAAGGCTCAGGTTCCTCATCTGCAAATGGAAGGACTCGACTGGAGGGCACCGAAGTCCCTTCCAGCCCTGCCACACTCTGCCATGTGGTCTTCTGCAAGCCCAGAGAAGTTAAGGGACTTGCCCAAGGCCACTCGGCAAGATGTGAGGAAATGCAGCAGGAGCGCCGGATGACTTGTAACTCTAGGGAGAGACCACAACAGTAGTTAGACTGCACAGGGGGTGCACGGCTCACAGTGAGGCCACCTCCACTCGGTCCAAATGGCGACTCCCTCCCTACCCTGCCTCTGGGACAGCCCTGCTGACCCCAACTCACGCTGCTCTTCGATGTCATTCTCTTCCTCAGACACCTTGGCTTTATAGTAGGTGATGCCCCGGATGACGGTGGGCTGGGAGGCCGGCCGGCCCCTCAGGTGGACCTGCCTCTGCAGAGGCCGCTGTGACCTCACCACCTCGGGCGGGGCCAGAGGTCGCGTCCGCAGGAGCTCGATGGAGTTGATCTGCTGGGACACGGTTTCTTCCTGCAGAAAGCGCTCTTCGTACTGCTCCTCAAGAGGGACACAAGGGAAGGGAAGGTCACTGGTCTGAGGCACTGGTCTGGAGCCAAGGCCAAGCCAAGCCCATGCTAAGAACAGCGGCACTTCCTAAGAGCCAGGCACCGTCCTAAGTGCTTACACATGTTAACTCATTTAGTCTTCTCATCAAACTTTTTTTTTTTTGGGTCAAAGTCTTGCTCTGTCACCCAGGCTGGAGTGCACAGTGGCAGGATCATGGCTCACAGCCACCTTGACCTCCTGGGCTCAGGCGCGCCTTCTGCCCCAGCCTCCTGAGTAACTGGGACTATAAGCACATGCCACCACACTCCGCTAATTTTTTTTTTTTTTTTTCCGTAGAGGCGAGGTCTTGCTGTGTTGCCCATGCTGGTCTTGAACTCCCAAGCTCAAGCAATCCTCCTACTTGGCCTCCCAAAGTGCCGGGATTATAGGCAGGAGTCACCTGGTTTTCTCACCAGTCTTACAAGGTAAGACCTATTTTACCCTGCTCATTTACACATTAGGAAACTGAGGCATGCTGAGATGATATAAACCACTCAAGGTCCCAAAATAAGTAAGTGGTAAGGCAAATTTGAACCAGGCAGTCCGGCTGAAGAATCGATATGTCTCTAACCTTGATGCTATACTGCCCAGAGAATGCGGATCTCTCCTCAGCCCTGGCCTAGGAGGGGTACTGGGTGGCTTGGATCTGGCATAAGTTGTTTCCTATGGAATCCACATGAGAGAAAGGGTGCCTGGCCTGGGATGGGAAGCTGGAGGACCGAGATGCATACCACCTCAGGATGAAGCCTGATCATTTTCACGGCTACCAGAGTGGGCTTCCAAAACACGTGTCACTCCAGCCCCCAGGCCCTTCCCACTGCATGCAGAAGTATAAGGTCCTTGGTTTGACATCGACAGTTTTCTTAAACATGGACCTAGGTCCAACTCAACTTTCTTTTCTCTTGTTTCGCGCTCCCCACCCCACGCCCTAGATACTCCAGTCATTTGACTGATTACTGAAGCTCTGGGCAGCTGAGCAGCTCTCTTGCCACCATGAGAGGATTTTGAGAACGAACATCACTAATTACATCTTAGAGTTAATGCTAATTTTTCCAGTCTTGGGTTGCTTGCCTCCAGAGCTGTCCGACATGAAAAAAAAACAAACTTTTCTATTGTTTGAGCCACTGTATTTCAGTCTCTTACTTAAAACTGAACACATCTTTTTTTTTTTTTTTTTTGAGTTGGAGTCTCACTCTGTCTGACCGCTCCCGGCCACCGCAACCTCGACCTGCTGGGATCCTTCCGCCTCAGCCTTCCAAGTAGCCGGAATTACAGGCATGCGCTACCATGCCCGGCTGACTTTTTGATTTATTGTAGAGACGAGGTCTCGCTGCCCAGGCGGGTCTCAAACCCGCGGGCTCAGGCGATCCACTCACCTCAGCCTCCCAAAGGTGCGGGATGACAGGCTGAGCTACCGAGCCCGGCTCTGAACACATCTTCTGGATACAAGTCTGCTTCTATGACTGCACCTCTCCTCACCTGCCTCCCACAGGTACTATTTAAGGATGTTGTCGTCTCTGCAGTCCATGAGAATTCAACAGAGTGGAGACTACCTCATGTTCATCTTTGATTCTCCTAGACAGATGCTCCTTAATGTTTGTTCAACTGAATTTTTGAATGATAACAAATCCCAAGGAGCTGTCTACACTTGTGACCAGCATTTGATTTTGACAAATCAAATGATGCCAAAAAGTAGGCTGCATATGTCCTGGTGTCTGGGCATCTTGACGGCGCCATGAGAAATGTCCTACGACTGTTCTGATCATGTAGAAGGACCACCCTGTTCTCCACAGAGCTGCTGCCCAAAGACTGAGCTCATGTCCACAGCGTGGCACGGTCTCTGAGTCCTGTGTGGGTCTGTCTGGTCCGACTTCCTGCCCAGGATCACAATCAACCACCATTAAAAGTAAAGAACCCTGGGCACAGGGCCTTCGAGCTGGCTGTGCTCCAAGTCAAGGCCTGCTCCTGAGGGACGGCGGCACCATCAGGAAAGTGTGGAGGCTTGCCAGGAGTGTGCCCCACCCTGCTCTCCTGAGGACTCCAGTGGCTGAATAACGAAGAGGTGGCTTTCTGCAGCCACCTAAACCACCCCCCTTCTCAACCAGGAGGAGAGCGTAAGCCTTGATGAATTCCTCCCAGAGAGCAGAGCGAACCCTCTGCCCCAGGTGCCCTGAGCCACCGCAGCCTCGACCTGCTGGGCTCCGGCGATCCTTCCGCCTCAGCCCTCCGAGGAGCCGGAATTACAGGCATGCGCTACCATGCCCGGCTGATTTTTTGATTTATTGTCGAGATGGGGTCTCGCTGTGGTGGGGACAATATTTTAGTGAACACCTATTAAGGCCATATATCTTTATATTACTTTTAACACTTACAACAATGGGGCAAGGTAGAGACTGTTATCTACATTTCACAGACGGGGAAACAGACACTCAGAGTCATTTAGCAGTCTGGTCCAAAGTCAATCAATTTAGCAGCTGGAAGGTGCACTTATTAAGTCGCACAATTGTTAAGTAGGTCCCAGGCTGCCCGCCTCTTCCTTATGTGAGGCCACACTGCCCACAGCTGCGACCACAGGACTGTCTTGTTGGCCATCCAAAACTTGCCTACATCCCCAAGTCCTCAGGGCGTGGTCTGGCTACTGCCCATCAGACTTGGGACATCCCTGACTTCCCACTGGAAAGAGCCGCCCAGGAGGCTGTCAAGAGGCCCCGGCCACAGCCCTTGACTCAGATGCTGAGGGGCGTCTAATTGCTGGACCCTGGTTTCCCTCTGCATCGCAAAAGCAGGTAGTCATTTCTTCGTGGCAAACCCCAGGAACTGTCTCTAATTCCAGGCCCTCAGGGAAGGGTGGGAACTGCAGTTCTTCGTCCCAGCCAAGGATATGGAGCAAGACCCTGGGCAGCCCTTGCCAGAGAACATATAATTTCCTCGGCTTCGCTGGCGACAGGCTGAGGGGGCAGAACAGCCCCCACCAAGCTTCAATTTCCTCTCTCTGCCCATCCGAGAGTCCCTTGTGTGACTTCAACTCCCAGAGCCGAATGTTCCCACTCCCCACCCGGTCCCCAGAGCCCCTTGCCAGCCCTCCAGGCAAGGACCATCTTGGAGAGGAGCCCCCAACAGATTACCACTCACCAGTCCAAGAAACCCCTGACGTCATCTACAAGAACTCTGAAAATAAACAAGCAAACGCAAATGCCCCGCTCACCCCCTTTTCGGCACGGGGTGTACTCAAGAGAGGGATGAAAGGGAGGAAGACCCCCAGGTTTGGGCCCCTTGGCCTCTTCCCCTTTCTGCCCCCGCTGCCCCAGTCTGGGCGGATTGTGCCACTTCAGCAGTGTGATGAATGGGGATTTGAGGAGGGGAAGGGACTTTGCTGAGTAAGGAGAAAAAAGGTTTGGTGTGTTTGATTTGGTTTGCTGTTTGCCCTCAGGAAATCTGAGCTGGGTTCCCGAACACACCACATAATGTGTCATCCAGACAACAGATGGATTCTTAAGCTTGGCCAACTGGGATACTGGAAGCCAGGGAGGGCGAGGGACGCCCGGCTCCACTGGGCAGCTGGGCCCGCTGCAGACGCCAGATGGGCTGAGCGAAGAGAGACCGGGCCCCAGGTATGACGGCGGGTGCCTTCGCGTTCCCTTCCAGTCCAAACGTCCTGCGGCTCTTTGGGTTATAGCTCAGACCCACTCAGGGCTGGCCTACCAAACAGACTAGATACCTGCGCTTAGTAGCCAGCATGCCAGGGATACCCAAAAATGAGAATAAAAATAATTTCTGAAGAAAGATGATATTTCCGCAAAAAGCATTAGAGTAGTTATCATGGGCAACGCCAGAAAATTATTGGCCTCACCTATACTTATTTGATGGTTTGGGAGTGTTTTCTTTTGAATTACATATTGGGGCAGGTGGAGGCACCATATTCTTCAGGGCCTGCTGAAGTCCCACGTGGCCTGCTACCCTGCCTTGGGAACACATGTGCCCCAGATTCCCAAACCCACAGCTGCCGCCTGGCACCACTTTGATGAATTTCTCTACCCAGGAGTTCCAAGCCCACCTACCCAGTCTGCTTTCCTGCCTCACCCCAACTCTGACTGACCCAGGCTGCAGTCTCATGTAGCAGTACTTCCTGACCTTTCTTCATAGCACACGAAGACACCAGCACAGGGCGCTGGCTCCCAGGTCCTCCTCAACCCACACCCAGGCTGACTCCCAAGGCTCAGGGAATCCTTCAAGAACACACCGGGAACACACTCCCTGGATACCATGTGCCACAGCTCTGTGACTGCCACCGCCCTTGGTAGCCAGTTAACACAAGCAAGCCCTCTCTGAAATGCTGCCATCCCCTGGCTGCCCAGGGGCCTGTTTTACAATACATCATCCATTCCTGCCTTGATCATGGCCTGCCCTGCTGTTGGGACTCTTCAAGTCCTGCCACCAAAATGTTTCTTGGACATCAATTCGGTAAATAACCTATTACAATTAAACAGTAACACATTTAGCCATCAGCACATAAAAAATAGCTTAGTAGTAACCGGAGCCAAAAGAAACAGGCACCAAATGGGGAGGCATTTTTAAGCAAGTAGGTCTTTTGACATCACTCAGATCACATGAGACAGTGTTCCATTTCATGCACGGGTAACTTCATGCTAAGAACACAGCTGGGTGGGAAGAGACAGAACTGAGACCACTTCCTGGCTGAGCAAGGGAGACCATGCCCAGAGCTGGGTCTGTTTCCTCATCTCTGCCTGACCTGCCTTCCAGACCTATGGCAAAGACCACAAGAGTGATGAAAGCGTGCAGTAAATTACAAAGCCCCTTGGTCGGGTGTGGTGGCTCACGCTTATAATCCCTTCTCTGGGAGGCTGAGGTGGGAGGATCACACCCAGGAGTTCTTGAGTCCTGGCTTCCACACTTGCTGGACCTCTCTGGGCTTCAGTGTCAAGTCAAATGGGGCCAACACCTGCTCATCCAACCTACAGACCACAACTGTGAAAGGACGGTGCCCCGAAGAGTTCCGTGCAAATGAGAGATGCTGGTACCACACTTCCGGGGCTGTGATCAGAGGCCCTTGGAAGGCCAGGGCTATACCTCTGGGTGGGCATAGGCTGCTGCCGCGTCCCTCTGCAGGGCTGAGCGGATGTCTGGCATACTTTCCAGGATGTTATCAGAGCAGTTTTCTTTGCCTCGCTTGTTCATCTCGGTTCGAATTTCTTCCATGTCCTCTTTGATTTGCGCATTTTCCTTGGTGAGGTTTTTAGAGACTTCCTGAGAAGAGAAAATATTTAGAAGGAGGATCCATTAAAGTGCTTTGAAGACAAGCAGGAGGCAGCTAGCAGCCATCTTCTGCTCAGAACACAGAGACACAACTGACAGGCTTAGAAATTGCCCAGCAAGTGCTTGGGGCTTGAGAGCATGCCCAGCTCTGGGCTGGGGACCAGTGCCAGATCCCCAGGCCGCATTTCCGGGACTGTCCAGCCCCGGTATGTCCAGCTGCTGGACATACTGCCCAAACCACCATAGCTTTTCTAATAATAACACTGCCATGTCCCTAGGCCACCAGGACATCTGGCTCTTTTTCTATCATTTGTGTACTGACCGCCCTTACCCAGTGATGAAGACCATTACAAAAAGGTCCATTCACTTGCACCCTGTACATGGGAACCAGTCACTAAGTTAACAAAAGATGGGCTTTCTAAGCAATTTTAGAAGTGGCCAAAAGAAATCCACTTAGTCTGCTTTTCTAATGAGCACAAACTAGTCCCTAGCACTTTAAGAGCATCATTTACATAGAAAATTGATAGGATGGCTTCAAACTTTCCTATTTACCCATAGAAAGGTTTCCCTGAATGACCCTCGCTAGGCAAACCAGCCATGGTCCAGGCCTGGTTCACACCAGAAAGGGCCAAGGCTTCATTTCAGTCCATCAATACTGGTGAGTGCCTCCTAAGTGTTTAAGTACAGTGTGGCAAGAAGGGCTCTAAATACCCTGGAGGGTCTGGTCCTGGGTAGAGGTTGGGGAGGGAGAGAGGGCAACTGTGACTGGGGAGAGACCAACAATGCCAGGTTCTATAAGTGCCAAAGTGAGGCATCGTGAGGTCAGAGCAGTTACCTGAAGAAGGAGAACGCTGGGAGAGATTTGAATCACGAGAAAGCTGTTTCTCCTCTGGTATTTCTTAGAGAGGTTTGACTACACTGACATCCAACTTTGGCTCCCATACTAAAGTTTCCACGAGTACCTAAATTTTTCAATGTGATGTTCTCTTTTGGGCCCTGTTTATGAGGTTGGTAGAGGAAGCAACCATGTTAAAAAGAGGATGTGTTTGCTTTCCATCTTTCTTTAACAAACAGACACAGGAAGTGTAAAAGCTCAGACGCTGCCAGGCACAGCCCTGCAGCCGGGTGAGATGCTCCTGACGTCCTAGAGGGAAGCCACAGTGGCGCAGAGCCAGGGCATGTGGACGTATACAGGCAGATCGTGACCCCCAGACACTGCGGCTCCAGAGGCTCTTACAGGGGCTGCCCAGACAAACCCAGTGGGTGCTTGTTAAACTAACTAGACCCCAGAGCCATCAGCCATGCCAGTCTCCTGGCATTTCATGGCACAGCAGATTCTGAGCCCTGGAAGGGCTTGGTGTGTTCCATGGGGCTTAGGCCAAGATAGCCTCTCCAGATTGCACACAACTAACTCTGAGAGCTAAAGCCCACAAGAAAGAGGTCTTGTTTCAAGAATGTCCAAAGGCCAGGTGTGTGGTTCAGCCTGTAATCCCAGCACTTTGGGAGGCGAGAGGATTGCCTGAGCCTGGGAGTTCGAGACCAGCCTGGGCAACTCGGTGAGACCTCGTCTCTACAATAAATCACAAAAACTAGCCGGGCGTGGTGGCATGCATCTGTAGTTCCAGCTACTTGGAAGGCCGAGGCGGAAGGCGCGCCTAAGCCTAGCAGGTCGAGGGTGCGGTGGCTGTGAGCGTGCCACTGCAGCCTGGGTGACAAGAGTGAGTAAGACGCCAACTCAAAAAAAAAAAAAAGAATGCCTGGAATGACTGTGTGTGTACTTACTCCTGATAGGGGTTATCTACTGGGAAAGCCAAATGCAATTGTGAAGAGCATAGATTCTGGAAGAATCTGGTTCACACCTCAATGCTGCTATCGTTAGATCTGTGATCTCAGGCAGATTACTTAAACTTGCTCTGCTTCCGTTTCACATCTGCAAAATGGGGTAATGCTAGCACTTCCCTGATGGGGTGTCATGAGAATTGCATGAGTTAATGTGCATGAGTTAATGTCATACCATACAGAGTGATTGTAGATTCTCATGGAACGTTATAGCTGGAGTGGACCCCAGAACTCAAGCCTCACCTTTCACTTCACAGAGAGAAAATTGAGGCCCAGAGTAAGGATGTGATTTGCCTGAAGTCATTTTAAAAAGTGGCAGAGTCGAACAGCACCAGCCTCCTGGCCCTGGCATGCCAGCACTCAGAAGCACCAAGCATATCCAAGAAGTCAGAGAGAACATACAGTTTGGTTTCAGGATGCGCATATGCTGATAAATAAAGAAATGCTGGACTCCCCTCTCTTCCTCTCGCTCTCTCTGTCTCCCCCCTCCCTCCCCCTCTAATTTACTTTCTAAATAAACTTTGTTTGAAAAAAAAGAAATGTTGGACTCCCATAAATCCTCACTACCCAAAACGTGGTCCAAAGACCAGCAGCATTGGCACAGCACAGGAGCTTGAGAGAAATGCAGACCCTCAGGCCCACTAAGCCTGGCTGAATCAGAATCTGTATTTTAACAAGATCCCCAGGCGCTCTGCATACATATTAAAGTTTGAGAAGCTCTGCTTTAAATGGAGAAAGTTTTTGGAGTATAGTTACTGGAAACAGGGACAGAAATGTGTGAGAGGCCATTTCCTAGGAGCCAAGGTCTTTCTGGGGCTGACGGGAGAAGTTCCTTGTCCCTTAGTGGAGTTCACGCATTTCTGCAATCCACAGTCACCTGCTAGAACAGTGTCTGGGGATGCCCCTTCATCAGAGCCTAAGACGGAGAAGGAAGCCCAGCAGGTTTAGGAGTGCAATGTGCTACGTCTTCACTAAGGTGCTAACATGCTCAGTGCTGGCACCGGGAGTCCTGGTGGCGAACACTCTTTAGAGGGGGAAGTAAGCGACAGACAAATCCAACAAGAAGATATCAACCAGTGAAAATTCTGCGAAGAAATTAAGCCAGGGCAGTGTGACAGATGCAGGCTCGGATCCTCAGCAAGGATGATAAGCTTCTCTGAGGAGGAGACTGAGGTGTGCCCACACCTGCTGCCTGGTGATGACTCCACTAATTGAAATGTGCTGGGAACTCTGGGAGGACTGGATGGCTTGGCCTAAGTCCCTTTACTACTCGAAAGAAGAGCTCACCTGATTCCTGAACACCTTGAAGCAGTGGGAGTGAGGTATTTGCTGTGAGGCAAAAGGGCAGCCCCGCAGATTTAGCTTCTGCTTCTTGGCACCCCCTCCTCATTGATTTACAATCTCTCACCCCTTTCTGGTTTCAGCGAGGAGCCATTATGCTGGATTTCCGCGGAGGAGGGTTTGAGGCAAGCCTGGCCCGAGAACCCAGAGGAGCAATACAGTTTACTCCCCTCACGGGAACGGCAAAGCCCGCCAGCCGCCTGAACAAACAGCCGGCTGGCAGTGGCATCAGCCCCTTGGCCTGCAGGACTGAGCCAGCTGGTGTCTCCTAGGTCAGCAGCAGTTGCTGCTGCTCCTCCTCGGTCACCCCCACGCAGCCCCCTCCACCTTGCTTCCCCCCGGGGCTCTGTGTCCCCCACTCCAAGGACCTTTCCTGGGGCACCTCTCAGGAGATACAGGGGAGGCTGCCCATGCAGGGGGCTCTCCGTCATGCCCTGGCAGATGAGTGGACCCCATGACCTCATGCCTAAGACTTTTCTCCTCTGGGACAGCTGCAACTGCGACACTTATGGTGTGTGCAACTTGGCTGCAGGCAGTGCTGGCAATGGGGGGGGGAGAGGCAGGAATTGTGCCTGTCTGGAGCTAGTGCACACCATGGCCCCTGCCAAGGATCCTGACACTCTGAAGAGGAGAGAAAGGAAGAGGGAGGAAGAGCAAGCAGACAGAGGGCTGGGACAAAAGACTGGACACAGCCAACCGTGGCAATGGAAGAAACTTTGCTCTGAGTCTTTGGCCCAGGCAGAGCCAAGGAACTAAGAGGTGTTCACAGAACAAGTGCCATATGCTAGAGGGACATGCAGTTGGGCAGTGGGGGCACCTGCTGAGAGTAGCCCACCTTGCCAGATGGGAACGGGTGTCCAGTGCTGACCATAGCCAGATGCACAGACACTAGAGGGGAGGCGGCATGCACAGCAGACAGGGTCCCTGAGCAAGAGGGGACTGGAATGCCATCAGCACTGGTCAGTATGGTTGGCGCCCCCAAGAGCCATAGAGGGCCACCACAATCAGACCTGCAGACTGGTGGATTGGGAATGAAGATACTTGTCTGGCTCTTGGCCAAGTGCATGTGTGCCTGGGTGAGACTGTGTAGTGGCTTAAGCCCAAACCACTAGGGCCAGGGGGAAGGATGATCACGGTGCAGAGCTCTGGCAGTTGTCTGTGGTCTTGTCTTCCCAACCAGAACCAGGGATGGGAGTGTGCATGGGGGAAGGTGCTGGCTCTGGAGACCAGGTGTGAACCCGCACCACAGACACGGCCTGGTTGTATGACTGTGGAAGGCAAGGGACGACGCCTCTCTAGTCCCCAGGTGGAAAAAAAACTGGCAACACCTATTCCCCCAGGCTAGGCATGGAGATGGGTGAGGGGCTGCATGAGGCACCGTGCTGAGGTGGGAGGAACCCTTGAGATCTCAGTAGAAGACACACATGTGCAAAAGGAAAGGGAGGCTAAGATTTGGCGTGGCTGGGGCGGGGAGGAGGGAAAAACCCCAAAGCCAGTATAGAAAGACACACCAGTCTCCTGTATGAGGAGACGAAGCTAGACTGCAGGGGGGTCAACCTTGGCACACAGCAGGCACATGGCACCACACAGCAGGCCCATGGCACCACCGCTGAGGAGGCTGCCTGGGAGGACCCTCTGGTAGACAGCTGGATGTGCATAGGGCACAGACACAGGTGGCACACACACAGGTGGCAGAGGCGACACAGTTCCTTGTGGGAGTGAAGTGAGCAAGTGTGGGGTAACTGGGCCAGCTGGGAGAGGCTCACAGTTCATCTCAGATGGTTCTGTTCTTCTCCCTCCTCACCCCACAGCTAGGACCAGATGGCCTGGGACAGCCATCCCAGCCAGCAGCTGTCCCCCAGCCCCTGGCAAGAGAGCTTTGCGGGAGAGCAGCTAGAAGCAGCTGGTGCCCCCAGTGGCAGGACAGACAGGCTGGCTCCATCCCCCTGACCACAGCTGATGGGACAGGCAGGCAGGCCTGGGTCCAGGGAACCACCAGCTGCCCCATTCGATCACTCACCCAACCAAACAGCCATGCAGCATCTGCCCCACGTCAGGTGCTGGACTAGGACCTGGGAAGCAAAGAAGACTCAAACCAGCTTGCCCTTAAGAAGTCCAGGGCCTGGAAGGAGACTCAAACAAGTAAAGAGCAAGAAGTCCCAGGCCTCTGATGATGAATTTCTATATTAAGGGTCACCTCATCCCTTAAAATAGAGTCAGGAAAGCCACACACTCCCTTACACCCTAGCAGATTGTTCCCAGACAGCAGAGGAAGAGCTGATTCACAGTGAAGGCTCTTCAGACAAGAAGAAAACCTTACAGTCCACAATGGCAAATTATATCTGAAGTATATAGGACCCCAGGAGAGGTAATATATTGGCTCGAACGTGTATTAAGATGAAAATTGAATTACATAGCATTGGGGCTGAAATATATCTCAGCAATATGAATTCCAACCGTCCACCTTTTCACATTATGAGGATGCTGCACCTCCCCAGAGCTGCACCTGAGCAAGGAGAAGAGTGAAGAGACTTACAGCAACCCCTTCTGAGACAGCAGATTTGATCAGGAGAGGGAGTGAGCCCTTGGGGTATCTCAACGGGACAGGAGGTTGGGAGGAAAGGAGAGACTTGGAAAAGTAACTCATGGTCAAGCCTGCACAGATGAAAATTACATTTTCCTATTATTCGGTGAAAAGATATATCCCCCAGGGTCAGGAATGCTCTTTTGATCTTGCTTTTCTAACCAGAAACACAAAAGCCACCACAAATCTTTAGGTGTGGGGGAGAAACCCTCAATGATGCCTGTGCCGGCACATTCTGGGGAGCCAGCCAGTTCTGGGGCTGGTAAATCCATTGTAGACTTTAAATCTTCCTTGGAGACAATGCTATCAGGAGAAAAGTCTTCATTCAGCAGATACACAAGGTTCCCTGGTGCCATGTGTGCTCATGAACCGGGTTTGCAAACTCCAGCAGGCAGATGGGAGAGAACGGCGAGAGCCACACACACAGAAGGGGCAGGGCTGCAGCAGCAGAAACCACACTGTGAGAAGCTTGCAGGCAGCATGCCTCTATTTCAAGGGCACAGGATATGCACCCACAAGTGTACAAAGGCATGTGTGTACACAGGCACAAGCATACCAACTACTTATAAACTTTTACGGGTGTCCCACAGCTAAGTGGAGGTGGGGCGTTTCTTCAAAAATTTGCAATTTTTCTGGCTTTTAATCCAATGAAAGCCTTGATGCTAAAAGGGGTTATTTCCATGATCCATTCTTCTGTTTGTCTTTTTCTCTACTTTAGTAATAAACCTGCTCCTGGTAGCAGTAGGTGGTACTAGGTATTGCACCCCATGCCTCTAGCACTGCTGCCTTGAGAATCCATTTTTAGGCCAGGGAAGCCTCCACTCTTTGGGTCTCTGGGTGCATTCAGCACTCAAGGTGAAAGTCTTTCCTTGAGCTGAATCGGTATCACAGCCAGCTCTATATGCAATGAACAGGGTTTGCCTTTGCCTTTAAACACTACAGGTTTTCCTTCTAGATGTCTAGCTCCTGTCTCTCCTGACACCTTTCTAGACTTCTAATTCCTGTCTGTCCTGATGTCTGTGCTCTGTGCCCACCCCCTAACCCCAACTCCAATGTGCACCCACACTTCCTGCACCTCCTTCCCTTCCTAGCCACTCACAGTAGAGGGTCAACCTCTGGACTACTGACCACCTTGAGTGTTTCTTTCTCTGGAGCAGTTCTAAAACTGGTCCACGGGGTTTCAAACCTCCCCCGGATGGACAGAAAAGATGTTTTTGGAGTGAAATGACCCTACTAGCATACACCCTCTAAATTGAGAAAAATTAGAAAGTCTAACAATAACAAGTGTTGGTGAGGATGTGTGTGGAACTTTCACACCCTGCTGGAAGGAGTGTAAACTTGTACTACCACTTGAGAAAACATTATGGCAATATCTCCTAAAGTTGAAGATAAGCATAACTAATAACCTATTGGTTCCATTCTTGCTTAAATGCTGTAGAGAAACACAGGTAAGCATGCACCAGGGTACACACACACAGATGTTCGTGTATAAGGATGTTCACGGGGCCATTACAAATAGTGAACTGTAAAT